GGAAAAAAGGCTTGGGTGCTCTAGGAGCAAATACTTGGACTGTTCTTATACAGGTAAATATTTGATTTTACATGATTACTATATTTTTGTGCTGCCTAACTTGTGAAAGTAGAGCTGAACAGATGGTTGACTAAAGCAATCTATCTCAAATACCATAGAAGGATGGTCTCTTAACCCTTAGCAGCAAGAATCATGCCTTTAAAGGCAGGTCCTTCATCCCCTGGAAAAGGCTCACAACTATTGCCCAGAGAAGCTGACTTAGTTACTCAGCAAGCAGAGGTACTCGTATGCTGCTGTCACGTATGGGAATCTGGAGGCAGCCTCACCCCATGGCAATGCTCAGCCACTAGGGAATGGTCAGGCACTGTGGGATCTGCAGTGGGTCCGTCTTGGAGCCTTCTGGAACTGGCTGTCTGACATCGGGGCAGCTTCTCACAGAAGCCATCACTGCAGCCCACACTCCCACCACTACTAAAACCTGGACACGTAAACCCAATATGCAGTCTACCAATATATCCAAGCTAGACCTTTGACTGCTTTCCTGATAAGAAAAGAATTACGGTCTGCAGCGCTGAAGGCTTGAAAACTTACGCATCTCTTGGCCCTTCCTGAGAGAGATCAAAGACCTGTCGTGGATTCAAATACCACATAAACATTTGGAGAACCTTGGTGCCCTGGGAAAAGGAGAAAAATTAAAGGAAGGGAAATTATGAATAGCTTTATGATTATTAGAAATAATAGTGTTCAATATTCACTATATTTGGACTGCTTTTCTTTCGTGCTTTACAAAGTAAACATAAACCAAGAAAAAGACAAACTAGAAAGCGGCATAGCAGATGACTGCTCTATAGAATAGTGACCCAGCAATCAGGGCAGGATGCATATGTATACAGGTAGATTGAATTTAACAACACAGATCATTAACGGTTCATGAGAACAGGCATTCAGGGTCAGACCAAAGGTTCAGCTCCTGCAGCAACCTGTTCTCCTACCTCTCACCACCTGCAACAAGAAATCTCTGTTATCCCACACCACCCTCAGCCATCCATGACAGCAAGAAGTTGAACAAGCTTGTGGGCAAAGTCACCATCACATTGAACAGTGTCCTGCACAACATCCAAGCAATGACACTGCTTTGACCTCCACCATCACCACCACGAACACTCGTAACTGTAGCCCTCTACTATCTAATGAAGCAGGAGCCAAGGACTCTTGGGGTACAGCTGCCCCGATGCTCCCTCACTCAGTGCAGTGTGGCCAGCCCATCATCTGAAGATATAATTTCTGCCTTCTCAAACTCTTGGGTTCATATTCCAGACACTCTATTCCCTTCCTTCGTGTTCTGCCCAGACACAAAGTGGCAGGATCTCTTACTAGCAGAAGAGGCTAGTAGGGCTAGGGGCTAAGAACCCCATGGGGCCAACTTGTACTTCAAAGTAATTCAAGAATACATTTCAGACATAGCCGAGGGAGTGCAAGTCAGGAATTTTCAATAGCTCCCCCTTCTGAGGGATGGCTCTTCTGTCTGACACTTCCCCCTAAGTGAAGAACCAAGAATAGTAGTTAAAGTGCCTAGGAAAAGGTATAAGAACAGAGAAAATAAATGTGATGTTTGCTGTAGCTATTCTCCCAGCCTCAGCTATTTGCAGTTCATAGAACTCTTGAGGGTGGTCCAGGACTTTAGTAACCTTCAGAGTTTCCTCTTCCAAATCTCTCCTTCAGCCCATGTAAATTTTTAGCATCCACAACATCCTATGGCAAGGAGTTTTGCAGCTGAACTACACATTGTGAGAGGGACCAACTTTTTTCTTTGTTTTGAATCAGAGTCTTAGCAGTTTCATTTGATATCCTCCCTAATTCTTCCAACAGAGGAGAAAGTAAGCAGCGGCTATGCTATTCTCCATGCACTATAGGCCTCTTACATCTTACATCAATCTTTTCTTTTCAACTAGAAGGCCTTGTTTATCAATAGGCACTCAGATTATTTGACATTCAAAAAGTGGCAGAACTAATCTGCAAAACTTTCACTTGGATAAGTTTTAATTCTAAGAACCCTAAAAAAGAAGTCTGGTGCATGATCATGTTAGTCACTGAAATTTGGTTCTCTATGGTACAGTACAAGACCAGTAATGATTTTTTTTTAAATGCCATAGGAATGTGTCATTTCACATTCACTTATTTCACTAGGCTTTCCTAATAAAATTAAACCACTTTTTGGATAAAAGTCTAAGACTTCATTGGCAATCTAAATTTTCTGTGGAAAGATGAAGTCTTCTGAAAACTTCCAAACTACCATTTTAGATGATTGCTTTCAAGAACCTGAAGATAGGAATACAACTGTTCAAATACTCAAGTATCCATTCCACCCATCCAGTTCCACTGAAGTGGAAGGGCATTTAACAGCAAGGACCTCTTCTAAGGACCACAATTCAGTTGCACAGAGTTCTTCCTATCTGATTCACCAAAAACTATTCTCATTTGCAGAAACACTGTTGTTAAACTAAAACTTTGTGACCTGGATCCAGATAATGCCCTTACCTGATTCCCTCCACTTTTTGGATTGACAAAAACCAGCAGCGGCTTCATGAGTGGAGAGGAGATAGGCTTTATCACAAATGGCCGACCTTTGTTATCCTGAGAAACAGAAGCAAGAAACAGCTTTAGTACAAGCTACATATGTTTCCCTGGCATAACATGTGCAGAAGACCCAACCTAGCTCTGACAAAACTACCTCAGGTACTTGGAACAGTACAGCCATATTAATGGGCTGCTCAGCTGGGACTAATTTATCCAGCTGAGACAATTGAGTAAGAAGATAAGGGGGGAGGCGGGGGGAATCACTTCAGGCCAGAACAAAACTATTTTAACATTTTACTCAATGTTATTTCCCAAAAAAACAGTTATTCACACAGCGCTAATATTATGTCAGATAAAGAGCTATTTCTAATACAAACAATTTTCCAATGGAAAATAGAATGAGATAAACTACTTATTTCATGAATTCCATCTAATAGACAAGTTGTATCAGCACTTAGTTGCGGATGATCTGCTCTTGAATTCTTGGCCTTGCCAGCCCCTCCCACCTTTGAACAAATGTCACAGGTCAAACATGACATGTCAATGAGGAAGCTATTTGCCTCCCTACTCCCTACTGCTGCAGCATAGCAGAGAGCCACTAGTGAGGGCACTCTCCTGGGCTGTGGCAGATACGGATTCAAGTTTCTGGTCTGCAGTTCTCCCACCACCCAAGTGAGGACCTTAACCAGAGAGTTCTGTCTATGATTCTATGAGTCTCCCTCCACTTCTCCCCATGAGGCTGTTCATAAATATAACTAAACTGCTAAGAGGGGTCTGGAAACAAGGTCTTCTATAAGCTACGTGGTAAATCAAACCATCAGATCATTCATCTGTTTTCTCCCTCTCTGTGGCCCAAAGTTTTCACACAAACAGAATATTTCCAACACTAGATCTCCTGAGGGAGACACCCTCAAACTGGACCAGACCCTTGCATCAGTGCACTCACCATGGATTTCACAACCCCAGTTTCACACCCCTGCTCTGCCTAGTGGAAGCCAAGGGTCTGAGCTGAGTCTCTTACATCCCAAGGGAACGCTGTTTCATTAGGCTGCTGGTCCTTCTGGAATCTGGTATGTCGTTTCTTGAAAAAATCAACTCCGCAAATAAAACTTCTCATACAAGTTTTATCAAAACTAATCTCTTCTCACAACAAATTCAATAGCATGGAATTTTCCAGTGGAAAAAATATATTAAACACTGCAGTAAAAAAATTGAACTTTAAAGTCTGCATTTAGACGTTTAAACAAAATGAGCCTGATTTCCAAAGCACTTGAATACCTACTTCATTGCCTCTTTTGCTGGCTTTTCTTTTGAAAGACGTTCTCTTCTTTCGCCGTGTTGAAGTCTTTAATGAGTTCTACATCAAAAGAAAAAAGAATACATGAAAAGCAAAACAAAATTTAGAAGACAGGCCCAGACAGAGCCCCTTTACGAAGCTCTTCCATGCATGTCCACTTGGAGAATGATAAGAGTATCTGGCACATGCTCGAGATTTAAGTTACATGCGCTGCATGCTTTACACTTCCACACCACCGTTTATGGAGAAAGCCACACACGGAGACCAGACTGGTGCTTTGGAACTGGAAACTTTCCCACGCTGTGAGGGGGGAAAAAGATCAGATGCTCCCATAGACTCACATAACACCACATGTTGTACCTGCCAACCCTCCCAATAGGGGTAGGAGACGCCCGTTTCCCCTTCGGGGCTCCAGTCTCCTGCCCAATCAGGCTCGTCTCCTGGTATGGAGACCACCTGCATAAAGATGTAATAAAAAACATGATAAATGAGATATTTTTCATGTTTTTTTTTAGGAAAGAAAACAACAAGTTTTAGCTCTGGCAACCATTATGACTCAACATAACGTAGGCCACCATGGCGTATGATGCTGGCACTGTGGAGTCAGTTCCAGCCTATCAAGAAACTTGTGCGATCATCTGCTAAGGAACAAACTGAATTGTTAACATTTAAGGATTTGGATGAGGGGGGTGTTTGTGGGGGGTTTGTTTGCTTTGTTTTTAAATTACAATATCACTTAACTACATGGAAAAACCTCATAAAACTTCTTGTATTTTTGCAGAACTTACTAAAATAGAACTTGCATCAAAGCTATTCTCCAGGTTGGCAATAGCCTACTCAGTGATACTGAACCAAAAGGTGTCTGATAAGAACAGTCCAAAAAGGGGAATTTTATTTTAATTTTTAATTATTTTAATTCAGTAACTGAAGTCATACCTGCATGAAACCCTAACCCTTTCCACATGACTGAAATTTTGTATTATAGGAAATACAGTAAATATTTTCTCAGTATTTCAACTTCTAGTCTAGCCATCACCAGGAAATAAAGTAACACAGGGCATTAGAAGAAAGTTTATTGATTTTTTTTTTTTCTGGCTTCAAGAGGGGAAGCAAGATCCACTCAGCTCATCCAAAAGTTCATTCCTGTCCTGACCTTATTCAAAAGTGTACCACTAATGAAAAAAGTCAATGACCAGAGATCATCAAATCTGTAAGCAGTGATGTCTGTCCTTAATCCTGCTTGCTAACCAACATTAACAAGAATAGCTACTAAGATTCTGTTTAATACCTAACAACCACTTCCAGAATTTCAAGACTTCAGTACGACATACCAGATACAGAAGTTAATGTTTCCACATCTCTGAGAAGTTAAGAAAAACTAATAGCTATCTAACTCAAATACCTAAAGACACTGTCCTTTTTCACCCAGATCAAGAGAAGCCTGCTGTAGAGCACAAGGTCGCAAGTTTTTTGTCACCTTTCGACATTCCTTATGGACCAGTATATAGTTATGCCTTGGTGCTTACTGAAAATACTGAAGACAAGACAGCTCTGCAGAACAATTACAGGACATTTGCCCTTTTAGACCATACTTTGAGAGACCATCTAAAGAAGTGTTCGTACTCTTCCCTACTCTGATACAAAGTGATCTTGAAAGCATGACAAACCACAAAGATTGCACTGACTATGGAAGTGCATCGGCAATATTATCTGCATGGTCTTTCATTGCCCTACATCAGTAGTCAGACTGGCTGTAGGCAAAAGTCTTTATGTCAATATAAAGGTACAGGTTACTCTCAAAGCTGCCTCCCGTGGGGGCCTTAGTCTAGTTTCTCACCTGTTCTCTACTGAAGGATTCTCCCTGGAGTAGGGCAAAACACAAGAGAGGGGAGATCTACTCTATCCAGAGTCTTGCCAGTGGTCTGCTGAAAGGTCACGGGTGTATCAAGCCTTTTCCCTGTGCTTCAGTCTCCCCAGGTCTAAAATTCAAAATATTTATCCTATTGGTAAAGTGCAGTGAATTCTGCTGGCAAATTGTAATCTATAATTCAAGTTAGGTATTACACTAGGCAAGTACTTAACTGTACCTCTGGAAGAAGGACTGTACTTGTTTTTCTACCTCCACAATGGATGGACCTAAACCCAGTGAAATTCTTCCGGAAAGGGCAAAGACAGTAAAATCCTGCCTAATTTAAAAAGAAATAATTTAAAGAAGGTTTAAATGTAGTTGTCATTAAATCCCACTATAACATATCTCTTTTTTTTGCCTATGGGTGGGATGGGAAGAGACACACAACTATATTAGAGAAACAGTTTTAGTCTAAACCTCCATTCATTATTATAACATTTTTCATTTCCACACTCAAAAAGGCAACTAAATATGTTATGTCACAACTATGTTATTTCACTTTTTTTTTTTAAAAACATGCCTACACCTGTCGTGTTAAGAGAACCTAAAGCTTTGCTATGATGTTTGCAAGTGCGTGTCCATAGCAGATGAAAGGCAAAAAAGCTGCTTAAACATATGCAGGTTCTCTTTACAAACATGCAGAAGAATAACAGCCAATAGTAATCATCAGTCTTTGCACATTAAACTTAAGAAATGGATGCATACTACCTTGTCCACATGACAAGGTGATGAGTATTTTATAAATGTATAGTGTTATTCAGTGAAGTACCTAATAGCAAAGCATACCTTTAAATGGCACCTTATGTAAATCCTAACTTGCCTTTAGAGAGGAAACCTCTCCTTTGTGGATATCAGTTTGGCCATCTTAAAAGAGAGATTTTTGCATGGTCACTATAGTTCTAAGCAAGCTTAGCTAGATGAACAGAAGATTTGGAGCCCTTTTTGTATGGTGTTGGGTGGTGTGAGGGCCACAGACTATCTCAAGCAAACCCAATGGACCCTTTCAACCTTTTCATTTACAACATTGCAGCCTTCATTTTCAAAGGCTTTTAGCATGCTGGGCTTCAAACGACTTAAATAATAAACAGCATCTGGGAAGGCCAATCTTGACCATCTTCTGGTTGTTCACAAACCACAATCAGACAAGCCAGCTGCTCTCAGCAATTGAGGAAATAAAGAAATAAACCCAGAAGAATAAATATTCACTAGCACTTTTTCAAGGTCCTCAAAGAAGGACAAGAAAACACCATGTTTACTCACCTTGAACAGAAAAAAACCTGGAATTTTACAGTTACTGCCTTTGCCTTCCCAAACAGAAGATAGACTGAATCAGCCAGATCCTCCTTATTATCTACTTTTCTCCCACAACATAAGCATAGCAAGTCCATTCCTAGAACTAACACCACTTGGGCTACCAAACCTCACCTATAACAAAACACCACCAATCAACAGGGGTGACCTGCTTTCACAAATAGGAGATGGAATTGATTTGAACTCCAGGAAATCAGAGCTGGTATCAAAGTGCTGCTAACACAGTACAGAAACACTGGAAATCAGTAAAGAAGTTACAGAAGTGGCTCACATTATGAATAATACAGAATAGATACTGGGAGTTTTCCATTCATGTAAATGGGTCATTACATACAGGGCTACCACCGATTCCAAAGCTATTTGAACCATTCTGAATATTCCTCATCTTGCAATCAACTGCTTGCAAGAAGCAAAAGCTTCCCATTTAGAATGTAGGTTGTCAGCAGAGATTTGTCTTTAACCAATTACACCATAATGTTTCATTACCACAACGTTGCTGTTAATCAGAGGGGGCATGTTCCCTTTATTAAAGTGCAATATTTGAAAGGTGGTGACCCACGTTGTACAAACTAAGCATGGAAAACCATTTTTGTAGCAATGAAAAGAGAAATAAAAGTTAAAAATCAGGGTAAGGTTTTGCTACAAAAAGCCATCTTATTTGCTTAAAAGAAACAACCAGCAAACAGGATGAAGGCACCACTAAAATTAATTTCATATGAGTAGGGAATTCAGTTCAGGAGTTGCCTGTGTCCAATGTGAGTAGTTAATTAGAGCTGAGAAAATAATTTATAACAAAAAGGCTTCTAGCCAAATTTATTCTGATGGCGGAATATGTGAAAAACAGATTGCTGGCTACACATTTATTTACTATTTGAATTAACAAAATTTCTGAATATTTTGTTTGTATTCTGTGGATTAAATGCAGTCAATATTTGATAATGTTTACCAAACATGCATATAGGATGAAGAGGGTCATAATACACAGAAGTAGAGCTGGCCAAAAACAGCAGGAGGGGAGAAAATATTTCCTAAAAAAAAGAAAACAAGACTTCTGCCAAAAATCTGAAAACACATCTGAAAGATGCACACTGTTTTCTACAGCAATAAGGATGCATTCCCCAGAACTAACACTGCAATCGGTGCTGTCAAGAAATTTCATGGAAATATGCCCATTGTCTGTGCTAAATATCATTTTGATCTATCTAATGCTTCAATTACTCAAGATAAAGTTTTTGCATGCTACTGACCTCGAATTTCAGGGACTCGAGACATGATGGAGAGGGAATATTGGATTGAAGTACTTCCTCTCCATCATAACTCAGGCACACAAAACTAACATTTTCTTAACGTGTAACGTTTTAAACCTTTATTTAAAAGCATTTTTCCTATGAATTATAATTAAAAAAATAAATCTCATCCAGTTATTTGAACTTTTCTGAAAAATTAATGGACAAGAAAGAAAATTCTCTAAAAATATTATAAGGAAGGTACCCCTGCTTTTACCAAATTCCAAATAAAAAGAAAATTACAAGTGTCGATTTTTTTTTTTTTAACTAAAAATTAAATTAAATAAAAAGTAAAAAGATCAAAGAAAGGCTTCTTTTACTAAGGTCAGACATGGATGGTCTATCTTTATTACTGTATTTTCTTTTTATTAAAATTAGTATTTTTGGTTTTAATAGTCTTTTCCTGATTTTGGTTAAGAGAATGGTGACTGCGGTGTATTACTGGCTCACAAAAAGGGGTTTTGGTTAAGTCATAAAATGATGTAACAAATTCAATAATCTTTCTTTTTTTGTAAGAAAATATACTCAAAAGCATATGAAAGGGCTTTGGGTTGGTTTGTGTTGGGTTTTGTTTGTTGTGTTGTTTTGTTTTGGTTTAAATGGTGATTTAAAACAATTTGAATGATAAATAAATTGGAAATATGCTGGGTGAAAAAAGATTTCATTTCCTTATCAGGCCTAGGAAGAAGGTAGCACCTCTGGCCACAGGAAGCTGGTTCTCAGATCAGTTATCTCCCTTCTCCCACGTGTACGGGGTTAGCTGTAGTTAACGGTTAGGGTACAAGACGCCCAAGGACCCTGGCAGTACGCTGTTTCCAGGTCTGGACTGCAACAGTTAGGAAGTCCTTTCTAGTCATTCCCAGCCCAAGGATCTCTACTTCATGAATCCACCTCCAGACCATGAACCCTTCAAGTTACCAATTCTGTGGCTAATGCCCAAAGCAGGGACCAAAAGACTTAAGACTAATGGGCCATACGGTCTCTTTAAGGACACAGAAAAGGAGCCAGCCTCATTTTTGTGCCAAATACCACACAGGTGCTGAAAATTAGCCAAGAAGATTAAGTCCCTACCAAGGGCTCTTCAGCACAAGAGGAAAAAAGATTTTCTGGAAGAGGCTGGAGTAAAACTAACAGTGAAAGAAGAGTGTGGGGAAAAAATACAAATGCCAAAGAAACTGTTTTTCTCAGAGGAGAGGTGGCTAGGAATCTTGCCTGTTGTGGACCTAAAGGAGAAGCAGTGGTCTCTTTGGTTGACTTTTTGATTACTCTATACTTTTTTTTTTTTTTTAACCCCTCTTGTTTTTAATATCCAGCTTGTTAGAAGTGCTACTCGCACACAAATCTGACAGTCATATCCCTGGACTGTAACTGAAGACTGACCAGTGTCCCAACTCAGACCTTTTTTCCAGTTCCACGGGACTATTTGTGTCTTAGTGCCTTGCCTACAGCCTGAACTTCTCTGCTTCTTGTTGCCAACCAGGACACAGAGCCAGAAAGCCCTGGGTCACTTCCCAAGGATGGACACACTAATGTAAGAACTGCACATCACCGCTTGATAAAACCAACATTCCTGTCAGTGGAGGAAAATTACAAGCAAACGTGAGTGGGAAGTCCCAGTGTCCCAGACACTATTCATTTCAGAAAAAAAGCAAACTTGTTTCAGTGCTTCTGAAATAAAACTTTTACCAGCATTTCTGGCTCCCTGATATGTTCAGTGTGTATTTGTCTGTTTCTTTCAGTTCAACCTGGAGTGAAAACGGACCTTCAAAGAACAAAATAGTTCTTGCATGATGGCAATCCCCTTTTAATTTTTGGCCAGCTCTCTTTTGGATACCTTCTCTCCCTATTGTGTTCACCACAAGACAGTATCCTGTCCAAAACATATCACATCCATTACAAAAGCTTCAAGTGAATGTTTGTGAACAGTTTTTCCCTGTATTTGCTCAGCTCTATTTAATGAAACATGCTTGACTGCCTACAACACAGGGGATTTCTTGCAGTATGCTCGCTGAAGTCACAGTTAGAGGAACAAACCTGAGCGGGATTTGCTCAGAACAAAAGTCATGTTTGTTGCTAATTGTCCCAAACAGGGAAACCTACTGATGGGCTGGATGGAGAGGTGGGAGGATACAGGTTCATAATTATGGATGTATGCTGGGTTTCAGGGATAGAGACACAAGCATGCCTTAGTGAAGAAGTACCAAGTGGCAAAGCCAGGCTGGCCCTGGGCAGCCATACAGCTTCAGAAACAGACATCAGCATGCAGTTACCTGAGGTTTCTTCACCTTAATGATCCAGGTGGGAGGCACAATGACAGCAGCGTGAGCCCCAAGGGAACATGGCTCCTCAATATGATGTAGCATGAAACAGGTGACTTTATTATGAAACTGGAAGAGAGGAAAAGAGTAGAGTCAATAACGAGGCCAAGAAAGACAAAGACAAAGGGGAAGTATGGAAAGGAAGAAGGTGGTGATGGTACAAAAACCAAACCCACCATCTTCAAGTCCTTCAAACCATGGAGTTTTAGAAACATGTAACTAAAGATCATCTTCCCTAGCCATGCCTTCTTTCAAAGAAAACAAAACAAAACAAACCCCCCCAAAAAACCCAGTCACCCCTACTTAAACACAGATCACAGATTGAAGACCACAACCTAGTTTGATGCAGCTGTGTGTATTAAGAGCCATTTGGCTCTCTGAGCTAGCAGCAGCAAGGCATTGATGGGAGGTAGCCACCAACTACGTTGTGCAGCAAGACTCTTCTCCTAGAGGACTCATGTCAGCCACGTGAAGCTATGGTGTCTTTGAGCAAAAGGAACAGAAATGGCAAAACCGGGGGTGATTCATAGAGAGGGAACCCTGAGAGCCAGGACAAACTAAATTGCTTGCAGTGCAGTCAACTCAGTGATGCTGCTAACAGTCTCCCTGAGTATTGTCCACTTACCGCCAGCTTGCACCAGGAACAACTGATGGCCACAATCTCTTTACTATGGAAGGAGAATTTCTGCTGAAAGCCCTAGAACAAGCAGGAAAAAAGGATTAAATTCCTCCTGACTACAAGAAAACTTACACCTTTAACTCTAGCCAGGTGACTGTGCTAGGCTAAATGAGTTCATTGCAGTCAGATACATTGGTTCAGCCTTAAAGCTCTTAGATACCAAACATTTGGGGGGGCATAAAATAATGACAGGATTCAGAGAAGATTCTTCAACTAGGGAATTTTCACATACACATTTTAAAGACGCTTCTCCAAAATTTTATGCTTTTTCTTAATTTTTGTAGTTAAGAAGAAAGAAAGGGAGAAGAAGCAGAGAAGAAATGCCTATTTGAATGGATTTCTACAGACCTGAATAAGATTCAGATTTTTTTGGTTGAACAGAACATTCTCTCATTGCAGTTTTTTTTGCTCTAAATATGAACCAGAATTTGAATTTTCCTTTATTTTTTTGTTGTTTTGGTTTTTTCCAAATACAGAGTGGAATCAACTACAACGTCTGTGTGGAAATGTTCTGATTGGGAAATTGTTTATTGTTTTATTGAGCTGATTCAGATCAAAATCTTTTTAGTAAGTTCCAAAAACCAAGATGGTCTGATTCAAATCAAACAGATACAAAAGAAAATATTTCTTTATAGTTTTAAAGAGAAAAAAACACCATTACCAGCAAATATGAGATTTTATTCTCCCACAGAAGACTAATTTTTGTAGAATGCAATTTCAGACATATCACTTTGCTCTAAATTCTAAGGCTGGAAAACCCATTGGGTCATATATATCCTTCTGGCATATAACACAGGCAACAAATGGTAATTGGAGTTACAGCCTGAAAATTTGTGTTCGGTTAAAGCTTATTTTAGTCAGAGAAAAAAATGATTTAGGTTAATGGCTGCAGAGATGGAAAGTCCAGAACTCCGTTGAACAGTTTATCATAGTCACCTTCACTGCTTAGATTTATTTCAGATTTGCGGTTGTCTACATCCTTTATTCATTGGCTTCTATCAAGCCTCTCTACTACATTAAGTAACCCATCACTACCCAGTTTTTTAATTGAAAGTCTCTCTACCAAGTCATGAATTTGTGAGCCAGTTTTCTTTTTGACAAGCTGAGTTTTACCTGAATCTCCTACATGCTGGGCAATGCCCAAGACCCAGTGCAAAGAGTTATAATAATCTGATTTAGTAACACCTAACAGGACATTTCCTCAAAGCTTCTGTAATTAAGGTCCTTCTTATCCTAGCTGCTGTGGAAATGAATAGGAAGATGGACACCTGCAGGAAAAATGAGCCTATTAGCGCTCAGTACAATGACAATGTCAAGCACACCAAGAAGGAGAATTAAATGAACAACCAAAAACCCATCCAGAGATGCTCTGCTCTTGTTTAAGTGAGGGATTGAGCTACAATCTGTCCATATGCGGTAGTTGAGGACAACCCTATCAATACTCTGAAGAGGAGGAGCCTCTCCCTGTCTGCCCGCCATGCAGAAGTGCACATTGCAGCTACTTCTTCAGGTGTCCCCAGCATGTATTCAAACCAGCTTCCCAGATGGACCACACCACCAACTAAGGCCTACTCCTAAAGAGGCTTGTGTCACCTCTGCCTAGTTTGTTTTTGTGTTTTGGGGGGGGGGTTTGTTGTTGAAGTGTGGTTTTTTGTTTTGTTTTGTTTTGTTTTTTTAATCCTTCCCCTAATGCCTCAGGTTTTACATTCAGAGAAATTCAAAGAGTAGATTCTTCATAATGATGGCGATCTGGCATATTCGGGTTTAGTAATGGAGCGTAGTCAAATGGCTTCACAAAGACAAGCTGACCAGCTGCTTCTGGCTGGCCAGATCTAGTCTGCCATTCGGTGTGGGCACAAGAACAAACAGAGTGAAAGTATGACGATATGAGTTCTGGAATGGAGTTCTGACACTGGACGAAACGCTCTATTCTCGTTCACTTAGACTAGTGCTTCTTAATGTTTCTCACAAATCTTACTCTTTCTTGTCCCAAAGTATATTTAAAAAATTACTTCAGCCCCCTCACAGGCATGAAATGTTTTGTTTTGTTCGGCTTTGTAACAAGCAGGGGAGAAATTCTTCTCTCCCAAAACCTCTGCTAATAAAACCTAAAATTCAGTACATTAATTCCACAGCCCATCAGTGGTGTATTTTAAACATATGGACTGAGCAGCTTGTCTGGTTCTGGATGGACTGGTTTTCATTTATTCAGTAAGCCAGCTGGCTTTTAGGGAGTCGTTAGAGAAAATGATACCGCAATAAAAATATATTAATGATAAGTAGCAATGAAATACCACTTTTCTTCCTCAAATTGCTTTACAAATGTGAGCTAATTCTTCCTAAGGATACATGTTTGAGGTAAGATAGCAATTATTTGAAAGCCAGCTTTACAAACAAAGGAACTGATGAAATAAAGCAATGCACTGCAGGTCACAGTGAGATTTGATGAGGACTATCAGGTTGAAACACTGGATCCCCCCATATTCCACCAGAAATCATCTCTTCTGCCTTCTCTCAGCGAGAAGGAAAACTAAAATTCAGCTATCTTGTTCCTGGGTCATGCAAGGAAGTCTTTGCACAAATTTAGAAATTTTGGGTTAGAAAATTAATTTCACCTTTGTGAGAATATCGGCCTAACAGTACCTGATTAGCCCTGATTCACTGGCACCCAGTTCCTGTACAACACATGAAATCCCATGCTGTGAGCTGCTCCTGCAGAAATACGGAGTTGTGCATACCAGAGGAAATATATTTGGAGGAAAAGAGCACCAGAGCCCCCAGCTTATGTTGGTGATTACCATCTGTCTAAATAATTGGGATCAAAGTCCACATTAATATAGGCACCCATGAACACAAACAGAGCACACAGGGATTACTAGCTCCAACATGTTTTGGTTATATTCTCAAACGTACTTATTAAATAGCATTTTTCACATCAGTGTTAGGGCTACTAGTAATTCAGTTTTGCACATATTTTCCTATGATATTTATTCTCTTTTTAATGCTTTCAGAGACAGTCCAATGCAACATTACTGTAGGAGAGACAGGTATTATTACAACTCGAATACAGACAGCACCAGAAGCACTTGGATGGTGATGTCTGCTAGAACAGCAAAGAACTAGAATTGCCTTTCAACGACTAGGAATTTCAATCCTGCTATTATATGCAAGGAAAACATACAGTTCTGCATCAATCCACAGGCCTTTAAAGGGACCAGTAACAGAAAGAGATAGATGCTGTAGCTACACACTGCGTGCGTATAGCAGCCACACTGCTTTGGACATCACAGAAAGTAGAAAGAAATAAAGTGTCTGTTTAGCATGATAGTCCAGATCCATTCTTAGTCTCGGAAAATCCCTAAGCCACTGGTAACTGGAAGTATATGAAGAAAAGATCACTCTGCATTCATCCTTAAGCTTCTATTACTGCACACAGTCATGGACTGGATGCTGGGCCACATGGTCTGAACGTTCTTATGTGGTATTACGTGAAGAAAAAAAAAGTCCTGTTTTCTCTGATGATCCCAGGTAACAAACAGCTAGTAACAGCTAAAAGCTACAAAAGTATCTTTTCTCCCCACCTGCAAGAGAAAGAAATGAGTTCTTAAACATCACAAATGATGTAGAGAATGTGGTTTGGGAGCTTTTATTTACCATCGCTTCCAACACAAGAGCTATAGAGCATTAGAAAAAAAATAGTAAGGGACAGGTTTGAAACAATCAAAATGTGGTTCTTCTCACAGCATGTAGTTAAGTTTGGGAATTCCTTGCTAAAGGATGTTGTAAATGCTACAAGTTTACAGGAACTCATGGAGAGAGAAGAGAAGATCACAGGAGAGAAAGTTATCATAGGCTGTTAAATATAAAGGCACCATTCCTGGAAATTCATGAGACAAATTCTTAGAGGCCAGGAGACTGTTTTGGGGATGCATCACTAAACACCTGCCCCTACTTACGCTTTTCCATAATAAGCCACTGTTGACTACTGGGCTCAACGGTACTTTGTCTTAAGAGACATGGCCATCCTTCTATTACAGTCTCCAGTTCCAAAAAAAGGGGAATCATCCCAGCAAGTAGACAGAAACAGACCATTTGATTCCACTGCACTTAGCAATATTTTGAACAAGACTTTCCAGCCACCCTTCCCTGCCACTGATTTCTGCATATGGTACTTTTGCAGTACAGCAGTGAAATCACCCCTGAGAAGGAGAAGAGAAGAAAACTGAAGTCTGGATGAGACCATATAAGCTGTATTTGTGCTAGCAAGTGACGTATAACAGTGGGAGCACAAGCTCTGTTGGTACTGAGGACACTATACACAAGGATTTTCAGAGAATTTTATTTTTGACTAGCTATAGTCTGGTCCTGTGGACTGAATGCCCATTAGTAGCTGCAGAGTTAACTTTCAATTAAGTTTAAACTAAAAGGAATTCAGTTCATTTGCTGCAAGACTGCTCCACATGTGAACCATGGTAAGAGATGACAGTCAGGAAAATTTCTTCCAAACTGCACGTCTGCTCTGAGGTGAAACACTGACATAGACACCTCTGTTCTCCAGCTCTCGGGAAGTGTCAACCGTGGCACAGAAAGCACACAAAATATAAAACCGCAAAGCCATACTAAGAATGTTGGGGAGCATGAATTCCTTTCCACTGGCTTATGACTTGAAGCATGAGATGGGTATATCCTAAATGTTCATTTCTACTTTCTTTACTCGAACTATTATTAATGATCATTAAAATATTTAACCACCCAATTCCAGACATGGGATAGGACTAATATTACACAATGAGATCTACCAGAATCATTAGGTATTCCATGAATAATACTTTCTTTTATTGCTTTAAATTTACTGCCATTCCATTTCAATGATAGTTCCCTGTTTCTTACATGACAAGAGAATATAAAAGATGGTTCTCTCTTGGAGGTATAAGAAATGTAACAGCGGAGCACAAGACAGACAAATATTTTGCTGTAATAGGAGACTGCTTGGCCAATAAATATAACGGGATTTTTTTTCTTGTTATCATTTTCCCTAATGCTTTCTGTTTCTTGACAAAGAACTCTCCTACAATACACCCATGTTGGTCTTAACTGAATATTTCTTATTTAAGGAGAAAACTGTGATTTCCTCTGAACTTCTCCATACAGTCAGAGCTGATAGGAATTTTAGGATGGACTCGTCATGTTGCCCACGTGAACGTACCCAACACAGGTTTCAATATGATAGGCAGTAAGTACTCCCATTGCAAAATCAGCTCCTAATGCCTCTAGGGGAGATCCAGGCCAAAATGGCAGAGGAGGAAGGCAATATCACTGCAAAGTCATACCGTAAGAATGCTGCATGCAAAGTGCCTTGCTGCACTGTTCACATGGTACTCGCAACAAAAGGGCACCACATTTTTATTCCATGCTTTGTTGCAGCTGGTAGCTGGTGATTTACATCAGTATCCAGCTACAAATCTGATTTTCCTCTGACTTAAGTGCTGTGCCATGGAGACGAGACACGGTCTTTCTTACTAGTTGAAGAGGGAGGCAAAAGTATAATATAGTGCTAGAGAAAGGAAATTAAGCCCTTGTATTAGTTTAATTTTTAAATATCTCTCAACAGATTTCAGTGGTTCATAATATTCCAGAAGAAAAGTCTTCAGTAGATAAGGTACTTCTTACCCCTTTTTATAGCTTTTTAGAAACAAACTTTTATAATCTATGCAGCAGAAGAAATGTGAAACAGTCTCACAAATCTTAGGGTCTGCCAGGGCAGAAAGAAAGCAACAGCCTTTCTTCTTCCAGAAGCCTGAAAAAATAGTCCATCACAACTTTGGCAGAGGACAGCACTGTGAGAACGCCATACTGGCACAGGTTAGCTTAACGAAGAAAGTGGCTCAAAGAGCCACAGCCTTCCTCCTCCTCATTTTCACCAGCCAGTGCAGCACAATGTCCCAGGACACATGATGTGCTCATTTCTGCAGATGCAGCTGCCTTTTCTCTTCCCACGTGGGAATCAGGGCGGCTACCACTCAACATATCAGGCTTGCCATTTTCTGCCTAAGAGAGGCCAAGCGTTTAGGATAGAAAAATTTCAGTGACTAGAAGGACCTGCTGGCTACCCTGAATTCAAAAGTGTCCAGTGTTGTGCTTGTGCTGCACTGGAAATCTTACCTTTCCACACTGCTTACATTTCCCCTCCTGCCTCCGCCTGTGCACCCAGTGGTGTCGGACAAAGTTCTGCAAAAGAAGGACAAAAAAAAATATGTTATAGGAAGGAATGACAGCTTGCACTCAAAGGTACAATCTGTGTGAAATCGGTTTACAGACACGAAAGGAAAGGTCCCTTCAGCCAATGCAATCATTTCAGGAGCAAAATGCAGCATTCCACGCGGGAAACCCCAGACACAACCAAAACTGCAGGAGGAATAAGGACGAGATGGTGTCTTTATCCATGTTGAAATGTGGCCAGAACTACTCTCTCAGTACTCTTCTACAAAAAGAAGAAAGTTCATTACATGATGCGGATGTTCATTACATCACCTAAATACAGCGCACAGAAGTGCCCAAACACTGCTGTGTCCAGCCACAATGCAGGGCCCCACTCTGTTCTGCTTGGAAATACAGTCTTACAATGCAAAAAATAACAAGTCAATGCAGGAGAAGGGAAGGAGGGGAGGAAGGAGCAGTCATTCAAGCAGTCTTTTATCCTTGTTTGGACTACTTACATCCTGGATGGCAGCAAGCAGTGGGCAAGAGACAGGAGGGTGAGCAGGACTCCTCCCTGTCTTTCTGTGCAGGCAAGGGGGTTAGAAGGGGTCTGCCTACACCATGCTGTTATGCCAGCCAGCGCTGAAGCGCCAATGTGGCAGGGAATTGAGTTACCTCTGCTAAGAGCAAGCTGGCCGCCAAATCAATTATAAAAGTTAAGAGGTGTTTTTGAAATACTGGCTTCTAACTATGTAAGACAGATATATAAATATATCAATAAACAACAATAAACACCCAGGCACCTTCAAAGGAGCTGAATTCATACAGTAGCCGGAGGCAAGCCATAAGGTTTTTTAATGTTTGGGGGGTTTTTTTACTAAAAAAAAAAAAAAATCTTAGGATGCTAGAGAAACTTCTAGGGAAAAAAAAAAAAAATTAAAGGAGAGGCAAGTGGAAGGAGAGGGAAACAGAGAAAAATAAAAAATAGTTCAAAGGTCAGGAAGAAAAAAGAAATGCTACCCAAAAAAAGAAAAAAGACAGAATAGCTGAATGAATGGAAAAAGAGACAACAGAAAGATTAAATGGTTTCTGTCAGTGTAAGTAATGGAGTGCATCAGCTAGAATTCATTTTACATTTATTCTGGGGAAGAGAACATCTCCCACTGGGAACCAATACTCTGTCTAAGACTCCTCTGAATCTAAAAGCACTGCTGCAGCTCCACACCAGATGGATCAGGACATAAATCAAATGAAAAGCAATCGCCATTTGTCCATTACTTACTTCTCTTGGAGATCTGGAACCTCCTTCTCGGAAAGTCGGTTTGCAGCGAAAATTAATCTGGCATTAAAATAAAGCTGTTAGAAACGAAAGTGAGCTGAGAGGGAATTTATTCCAATATGTTGATCTAGGCCAGAATTCCAAAATATATATTATCTGTTAAAATATTAGCTTCACTAGCTGAACAAAGTAACTTACCTGGATGCCAGAAAATCTCTTTTCATATGCCATAATAATTCTCCTTGCTAGATCTCTACGCAGCCCTCATTTTCACTACTGCTATTGCTGCCTGCTCAGTTCAACCATTTAAACCGTCTCCCCCTTGCCTAGAAGGAAACTGCTTCATCTGTTTTTTTTCTGAAGATCATTTGCAACCAAAGGGGACTTAAGCCAAGGTCTCAAAAGTTAATAGGAGCTGGAAATCTAACTCTGTAAGACCTTTTTGCACATCCCAGCTTTATGTCTTCATAAACAAAATCTGTGGAGAAATCTTCATTCACATGAAGAACTGTGCAAATTATCCTAAATTTCTACCTTGCTCAGATCAGGCTGCTTTTATCCACCTCCCCAGCCACAAACCATTTGGGGAGCATTGTACTGCTGCATGCAGTGGTGTTGCCGCCTTCAGATGGGAGAGGAAAGACAGAAAGAAGACAGCAGGAGCTTCCATGAACGGAAGACATTTTTAGGAAGAGGAGGAGAAAAAGCATTTAACAAACAACAAGGGAGTCCTATGAGAAAAACCCAAAATCTTTTGAGAAAAGAAAATCAATAGAAATAAGAGCAGGGGGATATAGACAGAAAAAAATATACTGAAGAAGAGAGATGCATGGGAAAAGGCCAAAGGATATGTGAGGTAAGGATGCACTAAATGAAATGGATTCAAGCTTAAGTTGACTATCCTTCAAAGCATAAAACACTTAAGGATACTGCATAGCTACGCTTTTGTCATGAAGGCAGAAGGATTGAGTTTCCCCAAATTTAAATACAACCCTTCCCATATAAATAAGTTCTTCCCTCATTTAATAATGGCCTTCAAAATTCATAGCTCAAGGGAGGGGGAGCGAGGGGAAAAAAAAAAAAAAAGAAAAAAGTAAACAGAATACTTATTACTTAAGAAGAAATAAAAGCCATAGCAATATTAGTGTTCCTCCATTGCTATTCACCTGGAATTGCAATTTGTTGTTTCACTGCTGAGTCATGGCAGGCTGGAAAGACCCCCAGCTTATATTTATTTTACTTACAACTTACACCTTTGCAGAGAGGGCCAAGCAGAATACTTATGCACCAGTTTTAAGCTCCACAGGGTTTAAGAGGGATGCAGACTTTATAACAACCCTCTGCCAAGAGGTGAATTTCATGGTCTCCAGAATGGCATAAAAAAGCTCAACAGAATGGGTTTTATCTAAGTGCTCATTTGCTCCGGCTGGCAATGCCACCGGCTCGCTGGGCTATGGAGAGTCAGCACTGCTGCTGATGAAGGAAGTCATGAAAAATTCACTGGTAACATTTTGTGCTGAAAGCATGTGCTAATGCTAATTTCACCGTGGGTAAAAGCATCGGGGGTGGGAATGGTACCTCTCCAACTTGGTATTATGGCAATCACTGTGACATTTGTCAACACAAGTCCAAATACTTGGAAAGGAAAAACTCTTTCCAAAGGGTTGCTGCTATAAATTTGTTATGCATCAACTTCTTTTATGGAGAACAACATTGCAAAACATATAGAAGTGAAAACGAAGCTCTAATGAAATCAATGGGGAAATTCCCACTCATATTTCTTTACACATATCCCACCAAGAAAGAAAAACAGTGGAGGGAAATTTTTTCAACACATTAACAGTTAGGCATAATGAAGAAGAATCACTGGTGGGAAAAGAACTCAGTGATAGCTATTCTATAGGCAGTTGGGGGTAAGGAGAGCTCCTTGAAGGAACTGAGAAGCAGGACAGATGCTCACAGAAATAATGGTACTATAAAGGAAAGTTTTTATGTTTTCCATTTTAAAAACAAGAACTTAATTTCCGAGGTTTTGAGGAGAAAACAGTATAGTCTAGTAAACACAGTGAAAAATGTTCATAGTAGCATCTTATGCTGCATTGCTCATAACAAATGTAGCTGTCATAAAATGAATTATGCTGGGTTTAGTTGAGGAATTTTGAAAGGCCAATTTTGTGCACGAAACGATACTGCATTTGCTAGCTTCAATTTTCAATCTAGAAGTAGAGGGAAATTATTTTTTTAATCTTAAAAGTTGTGAAAGCATTCCGTGGTTTTTTGTCATTGGGTTTTTTTTTTTAAAATGGTTCACAGGGTTTGAAGAAATCTATTTTAAAAAAATAAGCTGGAATTTTAAGTCAACCTTTTAACAAATATATTGACAAAACAGCTACGATAACCTACTTTGGCATATGGCGTTTTCCAGACTGAAACCTCAGTAAAAGAATTAAATGAGTGTTGTCCGCGTCAGGCTCCAGAAGATGGCAATGTCTTACCTTCTCTAGCTGCTCCATGCACGCATTGTGGACCACAATCTTGCAGGCAGCACACTTCCTCCGCAGAGCGGATTTCTGTAAGAGGAAAGGGAGACGTGTGTGCACGGAGGTGTGCTATTCCCATGAGGAAAAAAGTTAGCTGTGGAACAGGAGGTGTTTCTCTCCTCATGCAATATTTTTTTTTTTTTTCCCCTCTCTTCGTGATCTCAACCGTTCTGCATATTGAAAAAAGGTCTGAAGCTCCTCCAGTTAAGAATTGGACTTTGTGAAAGATAAAGCGCCACAGTACTCCAGCGTGTGAAGTAGAAGTAAAAGTCTCCCTTTAGGTAGCAGGTAAAGCTGTTAAGTGCAGATCATCGCTCTAAAAGGGAGCGGTCTACGAAGAGGATGAGCAGAGCCAGTGAAAAGAGGACAAAAACCATACATGCAAATCAGAGAACTCAGACCACTTCAGAAGAGTATGTCATTTCATGCTTATCACATAATATTTAATTTGATGGGCCTGACCATTGCATTGCAGAAAAATACTTGGGTCATTTAGCAGAGAATGATAACCTTCTCACAGAATGTTGTTAAATGCTTAGGAAATGTTACAGCAGGGATAAAACTCTCAGCCTAATTATGCTGGTTAGTTTTATTAATTTCAGTAGGGCTTTTTAAATAATTTCCATTGAATCCCCTGGGCCAAAGCATATCAAAGGCAAGAGAATGCATCCAGGAGAGAGGGAGAGAGATTTACTTTTTTTTCTTGCATATATTCAATTTAATAAACCAGATGGAATTAATTTTCATAGAAGTTTAACTTATAGACCTGTGCTTGAAGGACAGAAAATTTATAAACACATAGTAAATTGAGATTGGTTTGCCTCAGATTTTTACATTCAATTTATTCATGTTCATTTAAATCTCTAATAAATTATATTAGCATTTTCAATATATTGTAAATAAACTCAAGAAGAAACAGGGAACACAGCTTCAGCTCACATTATAGAATAATCATTATAATTTTACTGAGTCTCATAATTACGAGTCTCATAATTATCTAGATACACCCTAACTGTGCATGTTCACATTTATGTGGAGTATTGTTCTACTGTTTCACCTGAGGAAACAGACTAAGCTTTCATGTGTTTTGTGACTTGTTAACTTTAAGTATGTTTTTAGTCTCTGTGTTTACCAAGAAGAGTGAGACAACATAAAGGAATCAATCCCTAAGATGAAAAACTGCAAAAAGCAAACAAAGGTAACACCTTATGAGCAGTTACTTTTTTAATATCTTGCTTTTTAAGTCGTTCTCATGATTTTTGAATGCTGGTGGCATTGCAAGTAGTTATAACCATTTGTAGTGAGAGGCTAGTAAAAAAATCACATTATCTTTTCCATTACTTCTAACTTCCTCGATTTATCATGAAGCATCAACTCCATATTCCAGAGATTATGAGTTTATGTTCTGTATAAGCTAACATTTTATGCAACGTCTGTGCAGCTACAGCTTCATTATTTCTCACCACTTCTCCATTGAAAACATTTGATCTTGAATAATCTACATGTAAAAGAGCTAAGTCAAAGGAAGACCAGGACAGGCGTAGAAAGATGCAGTGTCTTCAAAAGGTTCAAAGTGGAAAAGCATTAGCCTTTTGACAGATCAGGTTAAACTACCCACAACTAAAGTTAACTGGATTTCCATTTCCATCTCTAGTTCTTAAGCTAATGAAAGCCCCATACACTGTAATACATTATAAACACAGATATCGCTTTCCTCAAAGGGAACCAATACACTAGTACCTAAAAGTACTCAGTCAGGTCAAGCAAAGGCCAGACAATTAAGAATTGAGCAACTTTAAACTCTGCTACTTCCTAACTATGATTCAACATCTCCAGGCCTCTTGGCTGAAAAAGCTTGTCACCAGGTAAAATGTCTCCCAACTTTCCCAGATAAAAGTGTAGGTAAGTGGGTCTAATTTACCAGCTACTGCAAACGGTCCTTCCAACTCCTAGAAAGCTGCACCTCTAAAGCCAAGACACAGCCTTGCAAATCGTATGCAACATATTACTAAATTTCCATGCTACTTTCAATGAGCTAAATCATGAGGAAGTATTTACTCAGTTTTAGAAAGGCAAACTTCTATTATGAAGATAAGAACAGTCGTACTGGATCAGACCAAAGGTCCACTCCGCCAAAAAATCCTCTCTCCAGCTTTTGCCAAAACCCAGTGCCTCAGGACCAGTATAAGTGCAGGGCAAACACACAATGACACTTCCCTTGAATATTACCCCACAATCAGCTGTCTGTTACTGTTGGGACTTTGTTTCACTACTCTTTGCAAGCAGGCACAGACTTCCCAGGCTTGGCCTTAACATTATATGCCATAAAGTAACGAATTTACTTGAGAAGTTATGGGGGATGGATATTAAATCGGAGCTATGGAAAGCACTAGTATTTTGGATCAAAGAGCCCCAAAAACTAAGGGTGATTAGTGAATCAAAATGCTTCAATTTGGATCAAGTGATCTGAAGGGGTTTCATAATAAAAGCAAAAAGATGATATCGCAAACAGTCACAAGCAGTATCCACAAACACCCCAGAGAAGATAGATTCCCCTTACACTTTGCAGTCCAAGAGCCAGGATGCTCCCTTGAGCATTGATTCAAAGCAAGGGCTTGAACACAGGATCCCCACTCTCTCACCAGGTTTCCTAAATACCAAGACAAGAGGGGTTTTCTTCCTCTTCTCTTCTGCTGAAGCAGTTTAACCGAAATACTAGGTGAAGAATTGCTGAAGCAGACTGGAAGTATAACAGTGACTCCCCAGTCAAGGAAGAGACACACATGGGTTAGAGATCAATCTGATGAAATTTTTTCATACAGAGCAGAAAAGCTTCAATAGGAGAAGGCAAACCTCGAATATTCTCAAATAGAAGGAAAACACTCGAATGTGAGTGCACTCATTGCTGGTGAGTGCATTCAAGAGTTTGGAAAATTCAGTTCAGTTTGGAAAATTCAGTTCAGAAAATCACAGAAATTTGATCAGACCCTATTCTCAGAGACCCCAGCAAGTGATATAGAATCATAGAATCATTTAGGTTGGAAAGGACCTTTAAAATCACCAAGTCCGACCATTAACCTAACACTGCCAAGTCCACCACTAAACCATGTCCCTAAGCACCATATCTACACATCTTTTAAATACCTCCAGGGATGGTGACTCAACCACTTCCCTGGGCAGCCTGTTCCAAGGCTTGACAACCCTTTAGGTGAAGAAATTTTTCCTAATGTCCAATCTAAATCCACTCTGGTGCAACTCTTGTCCTATTGCTTGTTACTTGGGAGAAGAGACCGACACCCACCTCGCTACAACCTCCTTGCAGGTAGTTGTAGAGCACGATAAGGTCTCCCCTGAGCCTCCTTTTCTCCAGACTAAACAACCCCAGTTCCCTCAGCCACTCCTCAGTTGGGTCTAGAGAACAAGTCCTTTCATCAGCTTCGTTGCCCTTCTCGACACGCTCCAACAACTCAATGTCTTTCTTGTAGTGAGGGGCCCAAAACTGAACACAGTATTCGAGGTGAGGTCTCACCAGTGCCGAGTAGAGGGGCACAATCACCTCCCTACTCCTGCTGGCCACACTATTTCTGACACAAGCCAGGGTTGGCCCTCACTATTTCTGATACAGGCCAGGATGCCATTGGCCCTCTTGGCCACCTGGGCACACTGCCGGCTCACATTCAGCCAGCTGTCAACCAGCACCCCCAGGTCCTTTTCCTCTGGGCAGCTTTCCAGACACTCTTCCCCAAGCCTGTAGCGCTGCATGGGGTTGTTGTGGCCCAAGTGCAGGACCCGGCACTTGGCCTTGTTGAATCTCATACAGTTGGCCTCGGCCCATCGATCCAGTCTATATATTTGGGTATATAAATAAAATAGGCTGCTTTCTTTGAACATTTCTGAAATTTCTCAATATTCTAACCTTTTTTCCGTTACCATGTTAATAAAGCTACTCATTACATCCATTCTCACTGTGTAAATAATCTGGGTCATTCAAAATTGTTTGGGGCTTTTTTCCCCAAGCAACAAAGTATTTAACCAGCAGCCTTTTGCCCCTTTTGCATTCCTTCTCCTGTAACACTAGCATCAACAACAACAGCAAACAATTCAAGCTCCCAAGCACCAGAGCATCAGAGTAGCAGTCTGAAGTCAGGCTTGTTACCTCAGAAAGAGAACGAAATCTGAAAATAACTCACTGAGAATTTGACTTGGCAGCTTTCTTCCCCCAGGTAGCAGAGGTCCCCAGAAACATTTGTCTCCAGCCACAGATGCTCTCCGTTCACAGCATTTTCCTGAGAAAAGATGATTGTTAATCCGGTTTGTGAAATTCAGCCACGTGAGTATAGAAAAAAGGATCTTATTTTCACCACAAATTTAGAAAAAGAAAAAAAACCAAACCCCAACAACCACGTGTTCTTTTGTTTTTCTACAACACAAAGCCATAACAGATTACCCTGGCTGACCACCCCTGCTTAAAGGATGCTGATGATACAATGAATGATGTGTCACCAATCAGAACTGAAGCATTTTTGTGTACAGTTCAGTGAAACTTTGCCCATGTTCTTCCCACATGTTGCATAGTTTAACTGGGAGTCTAGATTTCACAAGCATGAGATGTACACAGAATTTTAAAGAAACAGAAAAATCAAGAGAGATGAAACAAAAACATGACTACTGAACTTTCAATTGGAGAAGCCCAAAAATTTGAGAACCAAGCCCAGAAGTGCAAAATAACATACTGAGTATAGCTTTAGGATGACAGGATAGTTTAGACTAGGAAAAATGCTTTCTTTAAAATGGCTGGATCAACACTGTATGTTTATGAAAACATCAACAAAACATTAAGGGGCCAGGAAAGACTAGACTTTAATTTTATACCTGAAAGAATGATACACTCAACTAAGAGCACTCTCAAAAAAAATCTGCCTAGCACACTGACATTTAGTAGTGATTAACAGGGTAACATCTGATTCTTCTTT